ACATGAACCACACACCACATGAACCACACCACATACACTAATAACATGCTGCTGCGTCCTGCCGCCTCCTGCTGCCGCCTCCTGCTGCCGCCTCCTGCTGCCGCCTCCTGCTGCCGCCTCCTGCTGCCGCCTCCTGCTGCCGCCTCCTGCTGCCGCGATCGCTTCAAAAGAAAACGTTGGATAAATAGAAAGGCCAAACTGGGTGTAAACTAAACAGATATACTACCTTGGTGTGCGCCGGGGAAGTCCCACGATGGTGGTGAGCACCGCGTCCTGGCGCCTCCTGGCGAGCCCGCGCCTTCGCCGCGCCCGGCTGTGCCCCTCCGTCCCGCTAGCCTCCGCTGCAGGATGGCTCACCCAACACTTTCGCCCGCGGATCTGCAGCTCGGAGGGAGAGGTCTCGATGCGACCCCCTCGCTCTGCGCGCGGCAGGGCCTAGGGGCGGCGCCGAGAGCGGGGGCAGCGTGGGACTCCAGCGCCGACGAGTCTGCGAAAGAAACAAAAGGACTCGTTAGATGAAGGGCCATACGAACATTAAGCCTGGGGAGGACCCGTGCTGAGAGAATTGGCACAGAGGAAGGACTGCCGATCACTCACCCTCTGGGCCGACGTCAGAGCGCTGTCCACGGCGACGGGAACGGCGCGGTCCTGGGTACTCGCCCTGCTGCAGCATGCCTGGCCGAAACTAGAAAGAATTTTTAGCAACGAGACGAGAAGACAAATCAAGTATAACATAAGGGAAAGGGCTATTGGCGAACTCCTATTTCAGCCGGACATCTACACCGAGGTACCCTTTTTAACAACTCTGCTACCGATGGTATATGCCCGTGAGGCGCCCAGCTGCCCCGCCCCCGCTCCACGTACAGCCGCGCCCCTGCGCGCGGGCCGGCCCGCACGCTGCGCTGAAGGCGCGAGTCGCGAGCCGTAGGGAGAGCAGGACGGGTACGAAGCACTCGTCTCACAGGGCCGGCCCTGTGATCCTGAAGGGAAAGGACGAGCGCCACGTCGCAGCAAGGGCATCCCGACAGCCTGGGAAGGTACAGCATCTAGCCGCTAAGTTAGACATCCATAGAAATACTCGTTGACAACAAGCCCCACTTTACCCGGGCCTCGACCGGACGCCAGCGGCGGAACCTGAGCAAACAAACAAACAGAAAATTAATGCACGCGTCAAACGAACGAATGCGTTTTCACGTCGGGTGATGAACACGAAAACACCTACCGTGTCGGGCCGCTACCGCCCCCTCTCTGCTGACCCGCCGACGCAGAGTTTCGTCCCGCTTGCTCGGGCTGGTTGCACGGCGTCGCGTGCCTGGGCCTACGGAGCGTCGTGTACTGGGCGGAGAGCACCCATCTCCAGCTAACGTCGCGAAGGCTGGTCGCGCCGGCCTCCGCTTGGACTGCACCTCGGCGCCGACTGCTCCTCTTGCACGCCTCCTATGGCGCCAGCGGCAAACCTCCTGCAAAGGGAAACAAATCATTAACGTACGGCCAAATGAATGCATGATGGCTGATGGTAAACAGGGAAGAGCCTCAAACACCTACCTGCGTGCTCGGGCTGGTCTGGGTGCCGTCCGCCCTTAGGGGAGGAGGGGGGGGGTCGTCGCCAATGCTTCTGCCTCCTCTTGTCCCGCGCCTGCAACTTAGAGAGTTTGAGCGTCGAGCCGAACATGGTCGAGTAACACGATAGTAAGCGCAAAGGGCACGCAAGGCCCGGGCACGGCAGCGCTGCATCGCGCCGGACACGTCGCCTCGAGGAGTCCTTTTTCAAAAACTTAAACCGCGATGGTATTTGCCCGATGGGGCGCGCCCGCCGCCCTGAGGGCCCACCTCGCCACTCACAGCTCGTCCTAGGCGTG